ACTGAGGAGACAGGCAGGTGACAGATCCTGGAGGGCCTTGTACACTATCCCAAGGATTTGAGGTTATCTTGTAGGTGGATAGCTATTGAAGGAAGCTAAATAACAACAAAAAAGGGTCAAGATCAAAATGTGAGTTTTAGAAAGACCATCCTGGCTTAATGTAGAGGGCAAATTGGGTAGCAGTCAGAGACTGCAGTAAGTCCAGGAGAAAACTGTAAAACTCTGAATATAGGCAGGGGCTGTAAGAGCAAAGAGAAGCACATATTACAGCTATTTAGGAGGTAGAATCAAAGGAAGGAGTCACCCAGAAGTTTCCGGGTTTTGGCCAGGGCAGCTTGCAGTGCTAAGAGTATAGATACGACAGGAGATCCAGGTACGTGGGAAAAGAGAAGTTCAGTTAGGAAAAAAAGACTGAACAACTTTGCACTTGAAAAACAGAAAAAACAAACAATTCCAAGTTCAGTCCATGGGAAAAGTTTCCAGAATGAAGGCAGGCCAGATGCCCTCTGCCACATTTACACTTGGGAAAAAAGTTTTAGCCAGGGCAGCCCCACATTTCCTGGGCAGGACCCCCAGAGGGGCCAGAATGGGTGTTGATGAAACAGGGTTTTTTAATTTCCCCCTTCCACCTCTCTTCACTTACTATGACTTTTAGATGAGTCTGCAGACAGATTTAACACAGGAAAGAAAAAGGAAAACAACCAAAAAACTGTGATTCATGCAGTTTTCAAGTAAGAAACCAAATGTGGTGCAGACAGCCCTGGCAGGCAGCCAGCACTTTTTTATTGTAGAAATGAGGTCTCATCAAGTTGCCCAGGCTGGTCTTGAACACCTGAGTTCAGACAATCCTCTCGCTTCGGCCTCCCAAAGTGCTAGGATTACAGGTGTGAGCCACCATGCCTGGCTCATTCTGTGTGTTATAAAACAAGACTTAGAGGTGTAATGACTTTTTCGAGATCACATAGCTAGAAAGTGCCAAAATGTGATGCTATTACATGTGGACAAAACAACAGGAAATGGAAGTCTCACACACTTACGGTCGGAGTGAAAGTTGGTCCAGTTTTTCACAAGGGCTCAATGCCAATGTTTATTAAATGTGGCTGATCTGCAAGTTCTGATCTGCAAGTTCAACTTTTGGGAGCCTGAGCTTCCCCCTAGAAAGCAGAGAAAAAAAAAAAAAAAGAGCTTGCAGGAAGGGAGCCAACATGGAGAAGTGATCCCCATGAGTGGGACTGAGCTCACGGCTGGGAAGTAACAGCAATGCAAGGGTCCCTTACAAGTGGTTGCCCCTGTGTGAAGCTAGGGCTTGATCCTGCTAAGACCCTCTAAGAAGCCATGGCGAATATCTGAGGGAAGGAAGAGGGAATATTCACAGGCTCCTACAATGACCTTGCATTGGTCAAAGGTTACCCCATAACTCTTTCCGACTTCCAGGTTTGCCAGGTGAATTCTCAGAAGTGTCTCAAGAATGTATTCATGTCCTGATTGTATAGTTAATAATAAAAAGATTGAGGGAGGGCTTGGGCCTGGGTCTGGGGACTGGAGTTGGTGGAACACAGATCTCCAAAGTCAAGTCTCATTTTCAGAGTCTGGCAGACAGGGCTCTGAGGAACTGGAATTACGGAGAACAGAATCCAGGCTCCTTGAAGGTGGGGAGAGGGGCCTGGCAAGAAATGGCATGATGTGTCAGATGGTGCTTCAGTTTTCTGCCACAAGAGACCTTCCATATTCCTTAGCACAGTAGGCACAGAACATCTGATATCCTGCTAGACAGTGCAACCAACAGTCAGAAAGTAGCAGACAAGTCCACCATACCTCGGTCCATGGCCAAAGCCAGAAAATTAAACAAACGATGACCTCAAAGCAGTACTTCTCCAATTCAGTGAGGATGAGAGCTTGTTAAACATTTAGATTCCGGGTCCCACCCAGAAGTTCCAGTGTGGGTCTTGGCAGAGCCCAGAATCTACATTTATGATGCAGGGCCATGCTTGAGAAACACAGTCCCCGGGCCTATACTCTGAGTCCTTTGAAGGCAGAAAGTGTCTCCTTTATCCCTAGTTCCCTCCCCATACCTGGCACATAGTGAGACCAGAAAATTGTCCATTGAATTGTTTAAAACGAGTCCTCTAAAAAAATGTCTGCTTTGTATGCAGTCAGCTCAAGTCTGTGGCCTTTCTGCACATGCAGACTTCATTTTAACAAGGGAGATTAGCTAAGAAAAAGGAATTCAAGGTCAGCAGAGACTACTTGATAACCACAAGGTCGAATAATTCATTAACATGAAGAAATAAGTGCAAATTCATTGGCTACTAATAAATTTAATTCTAATATCCATAAGCCCCATAGGAAACTAGAATGAGGCTGTTGCTTGGTAAACAAGAAGTCAGAGTAAATGGAATTTAATGACTTTTAGGCTTAAGTTGTTAAAGTGTGACATACGTTGTGAGCTAATGAAAGCATTGTATACATTGAAAGCTATGGACTTCGCAGCAACTTGGATGGATTTGGAGTCGATCATACGCAGTGATCTATCACAGAAACAAAGAACAGAATTCCATATGTTCTCACTCATAAGTGGACCCTGAATAATTATAATACTATAAGAAAGGGATTGGCAGTAGTAGAAACTGTCAGGAGAGGAGGGTGGTACTGGCTGTTGAGGGAAACTGCTAGGGTAGGGAGGAGCATACCTCATCAACAAGGGTACCTGCATAATCAATGTTTGTATACCTAACCCTGGATTGTACCCCACATCTTTATAATTAAAAAAAAGTAAGGTATTATTAGCATCATCATTTTAGAAAATATGTTGCAAGCAGTACACACAGGGGTAATGCAGACAGAACAGGGTTCTACCTCTATGTACAAAACTTAGACCAGCCACTGCACTTCCCTGAGCCTCGGTTTCCTTCTCTGTAAAAGAAAAATAATCATAGTACTGCCTTTTTTATTTTTTGTGGAAATTAAATGAGACTACGTATGCAAAGTTTTGACACAGTATCCTACACTTAATTAGTACTCAATAAATGTTTGCTAATGGTATGAGGAGGACCCCAAAAAACCTGAATTATCTTTTGGCGAGCGAGTCCATTGTAGTACAGGCTTCCCCCATTAGGTAAGTGTTCTAGGACCCCCCAGTATGCCAGCTAGTATTGCTGCGCAGCACGAATTGTGGAAGAAACGTCCTAAGTTGAGGCAAACAGGTGACTGATTCTTCCACCATGACAACGTACCTGCCCACACTGCACTGAGTGTTCAGCAGTTTTTGACTAAAGTGGCACGAACCCCATGCCCCACCCTCCCCCTGTTCTCCTGATCTTGCCCCCAGCCACTTTTTTTGTTTACCTGGATGGAACAAAAAGTCCTCAAAGGGAAATGTTTTGCCAGTGTGGAAGAGGTAAACAAAAAATAGGGAAGCACTAAACAGCATCAAAATTGACAAGTTCAAAAACTGTTTTGAGCAATGGAAAAAGTGTTTCAGTAGGTGTACTGCCGCAAATGAAGAGTACACTGAGGGTGACTGAAGTTTAAACAGGCAAGAGTAAATACACAATTTTTTTTTTTTTTAGTCAGAATCTCACTGTCACCCAGACTGGAATGCAGTGACACATTCACAGACACCACCACCTTGACCTGCTGGGCTCAGATGATCCTTCCACTTCAGCCTCCTGAGTAGCTGGGACTACAGGTGTGCACCACCATGCCTACCTAATTTTTTGATTTATTATAGAGGTCTCGCCAAGTTGTCCAGGCTGGTCTCGAACCCATGGGCTCAGGCAATCCTCTTGCCTTGGCCTCCCAAAGTGCTGGGATTACAGGCATGAGCCACTGCGCCTGGCTTACAATTTTTTTTTTTGAGTTGGAGTCTCACTCTGTCACCCAGACTGGAGTGCAGTGGCCGCTCCCGCCCCGGCAGCCTCGAGCTGCTGGGCTCCAGCGATCCTTCCGCCACAGCCTTCCGAGTAGCTGGAACTACAGGCCCGCATTACCACACCCGGTTCATTTTGATTTATTGTAGAGATGAGGTCTCGCCAAGTTGTCCAGGTGGGTCTCGAACCTGCGGGCTCAGGCAATCCACTCACCTCAGCCTCCCAAAGGCGTGGGATTACAGGCTGAGCCACAGAGCCCGGCTCTCACAATTTTTTAATACTTGCATTCTGGGTTTTGGGGGGTACCCCCTCGTATTCAGTTCCACTTCTCAAAATCTTATGTCAATGTCACTAGCACAACGAGAAAACAGACCTGGTGGCAGACAGCATGGGCTCGTCTCTATGAGGCAGTTCTAGGGGGTCATTTTACATATTTTAGCCTTAGTACGTGCATTAAAAAAATGCCTACCAAAATTGTTCATTCATTGCTTTCATCCTTTCATTCAACGACACTTATTGGACGCCTACAATATAACTTGGCCCTAATGCTAACCATGCACTGGGAAGCTGGTAAAGAATGAGATATGGCCTCTACGAGCAGGAGCTCACTGTCTGAAGTGTCAAATGAAGTAACTCATGCCAGTTTTCTACAAGTCACTGGCAAAACTCAGAAGCAAGTGCTGGTCTGACTCTTGCTTTCCAGCTCCCATAGACTTCTGTCCCTTTAAGCCCTTCCATCTGGATTGACTGCCTGGAACTCAGGGCTAAGGGAAGCCACCGTAAAAACAAAAAAGCAGCCTTGCCACCAGGCGCGGTGACTCACGCCTGTCATTCCAGTGCTTTGAGAGGCCGAGGCGGGAGGACTATTTGAGGCCAGCAGTTCGAGAAAAGCCTGGGCAACATAGTGAGACCTTCCCCCGTCACTATTAAAGAAAAAAAAAAGCAGCCTTCCTTTCTGGAAGCAACGAAGAACAGGAAAACACCAACCCGGTCTGGATTTGAACTGCGAGTGTCTGCAGTTGGCAGAAAGGGCTGAGCTAAACGCCGCAGCTGACACAGCAGGGCGGGTACCAGCTGAGGGCGGGGAGAAAGCTAGGACTCCAGTTGCGCATGCGCAGAGCCCACCTGGACGGAAACCTTGCGCGAAAGTCGACGACGAAAGACGTAGGAAGGCGGCGAAGAGGACGCCAGCTCCCGGGTCACGTGATGCGGCCGGCGGGTCGTGGGCCCCTCCCTCGCCAAGATGGCGTCCTTGCTGCAGTCGGAGCGAGTTCTCTATCTAGTCCAGGGAGAAAAGAAGGTTCGGGCCCCGCTCTCGCAGCTCTACTTCTGCCGCTACTGTAGCGAGCTGCGGTCGCTGGAATGTGTGTCTCACGAGGTAACGGAGCCATTCCTTCGAGGGCGTGTAGGGCTGGGGGGGTGCGGCGTTCAACCGAGTCACCGCGACGGCGGCGTAGTTCCGCCGCTTGGGGGCGGGCTGGGGCTGTTTTCTGCATCGCTGATTGGTTGGATCATCCGTCGCTCAGCTCTGCTTGCCATGTAATTTGCTTGCAATCTGTCTCTTGCAAAGGAGGGGGCGGGCCTCGGGTGGGGCTGAGCGGATCGTCTGGTACCAAGTGGCTCTAGTCCGCTTGACTTAAGAGACCCTTGGCGTCTCCTGTGGGGCTTGGTCATTGGGTGCATTGGGGAGGAAGGTCTGGGGGTGCTTAGGCCACTTGAGAGGCGAAAAACTGTCTTTCCAGAATTGATTGCGGGTGTGGAGGGAGGCGCCGACCTTTCCCATTCATGGCCTTTCCATTCTGGAAGTTCTACTTTGGCCAGAAACTGGGCCTTCGTCGACTGCCTTGCCCTGGTTCCTCTCTCAGGCCAAGGCCCTCAGCAGGGATGAGGGTGGGGTGGGGTGAGTTAAAAGCGCCTAGAATAGAGGCTGTAATGTAAGTGCTCTGCTCGTCCTTCGCTGGCCCAGGTGGGCGTCCGAAGCAGGTTTGCTCAGAAAGTAGGAGACCCCGGCCAGTAAAAAAAAAAAAAAAATCACCAAATAACAAAGCCCCCACTTATGCAGTACTTGGCACACCTTGTTCTTCATTCAGTAAGCTTTGGGGATTAAAAGGCGAGTGAGACATAAACCCTGCTGTTTATTAAAAACGCTGATGATAGTTATCGTTTATTCAGTAGTTGCCTTGTGCTTTATGTAATCTCTCCAAACCAGTGAAGTGGATACCTATAAAAAAACCTTTTTTTTTTTTTGGCAGATAGACACCGAGTGTTTGCCACAGGTCACACAGCCAGCAATTTGGGGTTGGGAGAGAGGACAGGGATTTGGACCCGAACAGCCCGAATCAGAATTTATTAAAGGTGGCTGGACTGTTGCAGTGCATATAAATACACGTCCTATGCTATAAGCCATCTTACACATCAGTAATAAATATTATTCTATCAGAAATACTTGCCATAATGTTAAGAATAGCTAGGACTACAGGTGCGTGCCACCACACCCAGCTCGTTTTAAAAATATTTTTGTAGACGGGCTCGGTGGCTCAGCCTGTAATCCCGCGCTTTGGGAGACTGAGGTGAGTGGATTGCC